GAGCAAGTAATTCTCTTCTTGGAATTTCAATTCTGGATTGCAATATAAATGCGATGATTTTTAAGATGAAAAATCTCTGGGGGAGAGTTTATCCAAGGTGATACAGTCCACCCACACCGCACACATGCCAGGCTGATAACGAGGATGCTACTCAGACCCTCCAAGAAGCACCGTCTTTATGCAGATTCATGTCAGAAGTCTAGCACTATTAGCATGACTTCCTTGGTACCACCAGAGTTCCTATTCGGCCATCCTTTGGGGACCCCCAAGCAAAATAATGTGTGTGCCTGCATGTGTGCACAGTTGTTTCAGTCGTGTCCGACTCTTTGTGACCCATGGACTGTAGCCCGCCAGGCTCCTCTTTCCAGGGCACTATCCAAGCAGGAAGACTGGAGTGGGTTGCCATGCCCTCTTCCAGGGGATCTTCTCGACCCAGGGATCGAACCCACATCTCCTGTGTCTCCTGCATTGCAGGCAGATTCTTTACCGCTGAGCCACCAGGGAAGCCAGCAAAATAATTTATTGGAGCTTTATTATGATAAGAGGTATAATTAGCAGTCATTTTGTAGAATAAAGTATTGATGCCACAAGCCAATTTTCTGAAAGTGCCTTTAAAGCAGCACCTGCACCATTCATGTTTATAAATCAGGTAATTGTACCACTTATGTGTATATGTAATCAGCCTAACTTGCATATGTAAATCAATTGTCTTACATACAGTTTGCCAGCTCTTTGCTTTTACCATGTTTTCCACCAACTTTGAATTTCAAATAGATCAGATTTCTGAAATACTATTTTAATAAACTAGTATTTATTCTTTTTTTCTCAAGCCATTAAGGGATATTTCCAACTCTTACATCTAATAATAAATACAATTATAAAGACAATGTGTAAAATAGCTAGTGGGAAGCTGCTGCATAACACAGGGAGCTTACCCAGTGCCAAGCGACAACGCAGAGGGAGGGGATTCGGGGCGGAGGAGAAGGAAGGTTCACGAAGGAGGAGATATATGTATACTCATGGCTAATTCATGTTGTTCTATGGCAGAAGCCAACACAACATTGTAGGGCAATTATTATCCAATTAAAAATAAATTTAAAAAACATGTACAAAGTTAAAAGAAGCTAAGTCTCTGCTGATTCATTGCATCAGAATGCCACTTCGCTTGTACTGGATGTTTCAAGACCTTTTTAATGAATCTTTTCTGCTCTCTCAAAAGAACATGTAACTTAATTATGATCTGGAATCTTCAACTCTCACTTAACCCTGAGTGATAATACTAAGAAATGACAATATAATTAGAATAGGAATTTGTTAGGCATAAAAGACATCAGCTGATCTTATTCAATAGTTTAAACTCTGGGAAAGATTTATACTTTTGCCCTTGTACATTTAGGCCTATATTCAGCAGAACAACTGAATCTTCAAATGCTAATTTTCCAATTATTTTACATGGAAAAAAAATAAAAGAAGTATTATTGAAAATGTTCTCAAAGATATAAATATACAAAATTTTTATTCAGGACTCCGTCAAGGATTTGCAGACCACCATCTCAAATACACAAACACAAACACGAAGTAAAGTATCCATTAATTTAAGACAAAATGGCTTAAGTTCATAATTTTGTTACTTGGGTAATTGTGTTGAGAAAAGTAAAAGTTTTGCTTTGTTTTTTTGTGTGATTTAACAAAAAATATAAAGCTATCTTGAACTGAGAAATACAAAATAATTCTGAACTCATAATAAGTTGCCTATCATCAAAGAACATGCCTGACTCTTAAAACATTTTTTTAACTTCTATAAAGTAATAGTTTCAGATTCTGAAAAGGTTCTTGAAAATTCTATTGTAATTTTGAATGACTATGATTCAATCAAAAGTGGCAGATTAAATATACGCATTTATTTTCTCTTACTCATGAATCTCCATGAAAATGCCAGTAGAAGAATAAAAAACAAACAAACATAAAACCACTAGAGAAAAAAGAACAAAATGGGAGAGAAGTGAAGAAGAGACTGCAACAAAATTTTTCAACATGGAATGCAGGTGACTGAGTGGTTAACTGATCCAGCAACACAGAGAAAGCCAAAAACTAAAGTGCTAGGTGGGGGAGCTGTGTTGAGGTCACCTGAGCAGATTAACCCAAGATAATAGTGAAAGTGGAGGAGGTGGGAGGGGAGGGGCAGAAAACAAGGCTTCCTTTGCAGGTCTCTCTTCAAAAGACTTGATGCCCTCCTACCCCACATTCAAAATATCCACATCCAGGAGCCTGCCAGAGCTACTTCACACACAGAGACACACACACACACAGGCTGGAGGTTTTGCTCCCTAGAGAAAGTGAACTGAAGGGACTCAATATCTGGTGACATCAGTACAGTGAATAACAGGAGGAATGCACAGAACTCCTGATGTGCAAAACAGAGAAGTAACCTTGGAAAGAAGAGACCAAGGAATCCAGGAAAGTGGATTCCACCCAGATGAGCAGCAGAAAGGCAGCAGGGGTCAGACACCTGGCAGACCTCCAGGATGGAGCAGGAGGAATGTAGGATTCCAGAAGGGCAATCATGCCAAAATTCAGAACATGGATTAGAAAATGAAAGAGTAGAGAAGCTAAACCATCTGTTTCCAGGTTCAACAACCAACGCAGCAAAAACACATACCTACCTGCTCAGGAAAGGGTGGCGCCACTAACCTGGATCTACAATAATACTATACTGCATTACTGCTTTCTATGAAATTCAAAGGTGTTTGCTCCTTGGAAGAAAAGCTATGATAAACCTAGACAGTGTATTAAAAAGTACAGACATTACTTTGCCAACAAAAGTCCCTACGGTCAAAGCCACGGTTTTTCCAGTAGTCATGTACAGATGTGAGAGTTGGACCACAAAGAAGGTTGAGCACCAAAGAATTGATGCTTTCAAACTGTGGTGCTGGAGAAGACTCTTGAGAGTTGCTTGGACTGCAAGGATATCAAACCAGTCAATCCTAAAGGAAATCAGCCCTGAACATTCATTGAAAGGATGAATGCTAAAGCTGAAGCTGAAGCTCCAGTACTTCGGACACCTGATGTGAAGAACCAACTCACTGGAAAAGATCCTGATGCTGCAAAAGACTAAAGGCAAAAAGAGAAGGGAATAGCAGAGGATGAGATGGTTAGATAGCATCACCAACTCAATGAACATGAATATGAGCAAACTCTGGGAGATAGTGAAGGACAGAAGCCTGGCGTGCTGCTGTCCAGGGGGTCGAAAAGAGTTGGACTTGACTTAGTGACTGAACAACAAAAAATTAATCAAGTGAATGTATTTTTTTAAAAGATAAAAATGATTAAGTCTATCTGAAATTATTATATGAAGTGGAAAATAGGCTAAATTGATAAGTGATATTGTCCATCATTTTAAACATACAAAAATAGATGAAGAAACTATATTCAGAATTAACAGTGATCCTTTTTATAGTTTCAAGTATTCTCTACAATGATCACTACTTGTATATTCATTTAAAAACCACCATAGAAAAAATATAAAGTATGGAGACAATGTGCAAATAATTACTGTACAGGAAAATCAATGGTACATTCCAAAAAAAAAATAAAGAAGAAATAGAATAATCAAATGCTAATAAAATAATGTGAATACAAGACACAGAGAACAAACCTGTGGCTGTCAACAGGAAGAGGAGGCAGAGGAGAGATGGATTGGGAGTTTGGGATTAGCAAATGCAAAGTATTACATATATTAACAGAATGGATATACAATAAGATCCAACTGTACAGCACAAGGAATATTTAATATCCTGTGATAAACCATACATATAATTATGTTAATATATATAGATACATGGGCTTCCCAGGTGACTCAGAGATAAAGAATCCACCTGTCAATACAAGAGAAGTAGGAGACTTGGGTTCTATCCCTGGGTTGGGAAGATCCTCTGGAGGAAGAAATGGCAACCCCCTCTGGTATTACTGCTTGAAAAATCTCAGGGACAGAGGAGCCTGGCAGGCTACAGTCCATGGGGTCACCATGGGTCGGACATGACTGAGCACACACACAGCCTAGCATATAAATATATATAACTGAATCACCTCACTTTACATCAGAAACTAATGTTATAAAAAATAAAATAATGCAAATACAATAAGTAGATGCTGTTAAGGTGATCAAATAAAGGTTTTACTACCCCTGGGTTTGATAAAGGAAGCTTTAAAAATTTTTTATAAATTTTATTATGACTAATGATTACTTCAACTTAAATAAAAATATCCAGTGAAAATCAGAAAAAAACACATTCTGCTAGGACTGGCAGTAACCTTAGCCGTGCACCTTCTAATACTCTTACATTAGAGAGAACTGTCCCAAGCTAATCTCAGGAATTGAAAAGGCAGACTCTACAGTACCCCTTTGGCAACTTATTCAGTGTTCAACACCACTTCTAGTAAGGTTTCCCACACCCCCGCCCATAAATGTAAACACAGTTGATCCTCTGCATCCACGGATCATAGCTGTTTGAATCTGACCATGTGGAACCCACAGATATGGGGGACTGACAGTACCTGGTTCTGCAGCTCATGTCATTAGTATTCAGTGAAGTCAGAAGAAGAAATTAGCAACTCACCATTTTTGCCTAATGAAGCCTCAGCTACATTAATTTTATCTCACATCATAATACCTGGCACTGAGCCTCAGTCACGTGTTGCACCAAACACACATCAATAAATAAAAATTATAATGAAGTTCCTTTTTAGTATGCTCGTCTGCCAGGAAAATATCCTAGTTTCTTTAGTCTTTTATTATGGAAACATTTTCTTTTAATCTTTAATTAATTTTCTTTCATTTACTGATGTTTCTAAAGATGGCAAGACCAGACTGGGAACAGGATTCTACAAAGGATATAGAATGGAACACATCAGATGAACTGCTTTATGAAGGTGATGTTACTAAATGTCATTCCAAGACCACACTGCAAATCACCACATGGGAAATAATTCTAAACACTTACCTCAAGAACCAGCCATAGCTTATCTCCATTTATTTTATCCTTCTTAAAGTACATGCCATAGAATCTGACCACATTAGGGTGGTCGGAAAGTGCTTTTAGGATGCTGTACTCTGCTTCAATCTCTTCATCAATATCCTAGTTTCAAAGAGTCATGGGGAGAGAGCAGTGAGAAAAACATGAATGAAGTAAAAAAAAAAAACGTTGCTAGACTAGCGAACGTAGAATTTTATTTTGTCAAAGCAAGGTCAGAATAGTTTCTACTGTGCTCAATACAGTGTATTGAAATTTCTCATTACACTCCGTAAGGAGAGAGATCATGATTTTCCTGCTAATCGAAAATATATCTAATTATGTTCATTTCATTGAAAAGAAATAATAAAAGGCTATTTTTATGTGCAGTTAGAAAGAAACACATAGGAACTTCCTTGGTGGTCCAGTGCCTTCCAATGCAGGGGACGTGGGTTCAATCCCTGGTCTGAGAACTAAGATCCCACATGCCACGGGCAACTAAGCCCAGGCACCTAAACTATTAAGACCATGAGCAACTAAGACCTGACGCAGCCAAATAAATTAAATTTTTTAAGTTAAAAAATAAAAATAAAGAATTCTAAACACAAAATCTAGGGGTAAAAATATATATGGAGAACTGCTTAAGGTGATCTTCCTTTCTTTGTAGTGTTAACTTTATTTCAATGGTAAAATCATTGTTTTGACATGAAAACTTTTAGCTGGTTCATTTTGTTTCTTTGAAGTATAGGATATTTAAAGGCTATCAAAATACCAGTCAGACATGCAATAAACTCCTACCTTTCCAAAAAAGTGAAAGGGTTAAGTTATATAAGATGGCATACAGCCTTTAGTTAACTAAGACTCATTCACAAGAAGTAGAATAGGTTGTAATCCTGTCAATAAAACTGCAAACCAAGTATCTAGAAAACCATATATACATAAAACAATTCACTGTTATAAATAAAAGACTTCTAATATTTTATGGTAACATTTAATGTCTATATTGTTTTAAGACAGAATCATGGAATCACAAAGCTGTAAAGAATTTTAGACCAGAACACTAGTCTTAGGAAGAAAGCTAAGAAAATTAATTTTTAAAAAAAGAAAGAAACGAAAGCTCAAGGCAGTTAGTCACAGAACTGGTTAGTGTGTGATCCAGGACTAGTCTTTTGTCTACTACCTTCTAGGCCTGCTCATTTCATCCCTATCTTGGAGAGGAGATTATGAGTTCAAAATCCATAACAGTAAGACCTTTTTAATAAAAAAAAAAAATAGCCACTCTGCAAAATGCTTGGGTGCATTTAAATTTATTTTATTAAGATTACAATCTCCTGGTTATAAATCTTTTTTTATTTGACTTGTGGCATGATGCATGAAGAGTAAATAAAGAATTCTTAGAAAAATATATATGTACTATGACAAGAATAAAAGCAGCAAAACAACACATTTCATACTATGGTTATGAATCTATAAATTTCATTAAAGCAAGAGAACAAAACCTGATTTGTAAGGTAGGCTGTATAGTAAATGTGCAATTATGAAAGGATAACTGTTACATATATTCACAAGTCATTTGTTCTTGCTCATAAAGAAGCAGAGGAATGGGAGAGAGACTCTGATTCTGGGGCCACACATTGAGATCAGCCTGGAGCCCTTTCTCTTGCCACGTGAACCCCAATCCTTAACAGCAAAGTTCAAAGGGCAGACTTGTAATTGCCAAGACCAGTGGTGCAGTTACTCTGATACAGCTTAATTGGTGTCTCTCTTCCCTCAGTTTTAACAATAAGAACTTTCCGACAGAATATGAAGACATGCAGCATCAGTTAAGTCTGCACACAGCACTTCTCATTTTTTTCCCCCAGTGGGCTTCCCTGGTGGCTCAGTGGTAAAGAATCTGCCTGTCAATGCAGGAGACATGGGTTCTATCCCTGGGTTGGAAAGATCCCCTGGAGAAGGAAATGGCAAACCACTCCAGTATTCTTTCCTGAGAAATCCCATGGACAAAAGAGGAGCCAGCCAGCCAGCTACAATAGATGGTACATAAAGAGTCAGATACAACTTTGTGACTGAGCAGACATGCACCTATCTAACTTACTTCTTGAAAAGAAGCCCCCACCCTCTCTATTCTCTGCTCAAAGGAAAATGAAACAGTATAGTAATAATAGATGCAGTAAAAATACACTATCAGAAAAGAAAGAGCAACCCCAAGATGAACAGAAGGCCAGAGACTTTTTGCAGAGTCCTTTTGCAGGCTTTATGCGTCAGAGCTGTGACAAGGACTCATCATTTCAATCAAGCCATGCTCCCGTCACATGCACATAGTGAAAGTGAAAGTGAAGTCACTCAGTCGTGTCTGACTCTTTGCAACCCCATGGACTGTAGCCTACCAGACGCCTCCATCCATGGGATTTTCCAGGCAAGAGTACTGGAGTGGGTTGCCATTTCCTTCTCCAAGAGCTGAGTAATTGGAGGAGGTGCTCTCAGGAGACGTTTGCGGGTTAAAGAATCACTGAGTTTATTCTGGCTCCCCCACGTGCTAGGGGAGACCTTCACGTATGTCCTAGTAGCTGAAAATGCGCCCAAACATCCAGCCTCTGACTCCTGGAAAAAACAATCTTGTCTCTTACAGGCAAATCTCATGCTCTCACAGGCAAAGCAAGGTGAGTTTCCCTGATCACAACTGCTATTCCCAAAAAAAGCACCACGGGCACTGCTGGAAAAGAGGCTATATGGACTGACCACGACATTGAATTCTTCACAAGGAACCACATCCTGTAAAGGAATGCCATTTCTGCTTTGGAAACACTTAGGTAAACCTGAAAATTAATTTCCCTTTTTTGAAAGAAATTTAAAAATATATTTCTGGTTTGGCATAAGAGGAATTCTGCCTGAAGACTAAATAAACACAGGAGGAAAATGAAATCTGGCCAAGACGACATTAGACAATTTTAGGGTTATTTCTAGACCCGTGAGTCTATATGCTGACAACACTCTGAAATCTAAAAATCTTAAAATCTAAAAATATTAAATCAAACCATTGAGTTGCTTGAGAGAAGATAAACTTATATACATATATGTTTATCTGTGCGTGAGTACATGCTAAGTCACTTCAGTCATATCTGACTGTGGGACGCTATGGACTGTGGCCCTCCAGGCTCCTCTGTCCCTGGGCTTCTCCAGGCAAGAATACTGGAATGGTTTGCCAAACCCTCCTCCAGGAGATCTTCCCAACTCAGGGATCGAACCTGTTTCTCTTCTGTCTCCTGCATTGGCAGGCAGGTTCTTTACCACTAGTGCCACCTGGGACATCCCCATACTTCTCTTTACTATATGTTTATCTGTTTATCAAGTATTTATTGGACCTTCTAATATATGTTAAGCATTTAACAAGGAAAATCTAACAAGACATTTTTAAACAAACGTTTCCTTCAAATTGCAACTGACATTGTGATAAATAAATCAAGATAAGATACCAATGGACTTTTTAACTGTTTAATACAGATTTTTTTTAAAAGTTAATTAGCAAGCAAGAAAAGAAAACAATGTGACTTACATGAATGGGATCCAGAATTTTGACTGCTGCTTTTTGGCCATTTTTCTTATTCAACACTTTAAAAACTTTTCCATAAGTTCCTTTGCCAATCGTTTCAGTGATTTCCCAAGTATCAGAAGGGTCAGGAAAGTTATCAAAGATGATTGATTTTCCAATTAATGGAAGCATCTCAAAAGTTTAAATCACTGGAGAGAAAAAGTACAGAGCTTCACTGACATTTGATTGGTAATATTAAACAGCACACACAAACTCATGGGAAATTATCTAATATTTTCACTCATATAATGGAAAATACACAGCAGTAACCAAATGTACTCAGAGACAAAGAAATTTTTAATTTCAATTCTTTTTGCAAACAGATGAATACAAGTTTAATAATGTTTTGTAAGCAGGGCTTTCTATGTTTAATACTGTCCCATATTAATTGCTACTGTTAGTAATTATTTTCAGATTAGAGGCACACATTTAAATCATTTTGATTTACTGCTTTATAACTCATGAATGAAAGAATGTTAGAATAAACCTTCAGTCAGTTCAGTCACTCAGTCGTGTCCGACTCCTTGTGACCCCGTGAACCGCAGCATGCCAGGCCTCCCTGTCCATCACAAACTCCCAGAGTTTACCCAAACCCATGTCCATAGAGTCGGTGATGCCATCCAACCATCTCATCCTCTGTCGTCCCCTTTTCCTCCTGCCCTCAATCTTTCCCAGCAAAAGGGTCTTTTCAAATGAGTCAGCTCTTCGCACCAGGTGGCCAAAGTACTGGAGTTTCATCTTCAGCATCAGTCCTTCCAATGAACACCTAGGACTGATCTCCTTCAGGATGCACTGGTTGGATCTCCTTGCAGTCCAAGAGACTCTCAAGAGCCTTCTCCAATACCACAGTTCAAAAGCATTAATTCTTCAGTGCTCAGCTTTTTTTACAGTCCAACTCTCACATCCATACATGACCACTGGAAAAACCACAGCCTTGACTAGACAGACATTTGTTGGCAAAGTAATGTCTCTGCTTTTTAGTATGCTGTCTAGGTTGGTCATAACTTTCCTTCCAAGGAGCAAGCGTCTTTTAATTCATGGCTGCAATCACCATCTGCAGTGATTTTGGAGCCCAGAAAAATAAAGTCAGCCACTGTTTCCACTGTTTCCCCATCTATTTGCCGTGAAGTGATGGAACCGGATGCCATGATCTTAGTTTTCTGACGAGCTTTAAGCCAACTTTTTCACTCACCTCTTTCACTTTCATCAAGAGGCTCTTTAGTTCTTCTTCACTTTCTGCCATAAGGGTTAGCAATGATAAAAATCCAACTTCTTCATCAAAGCAAATCCCATACTTTAAAATGATTGTGTTTTTTTATTTATTTTTTAATTGAAGGAAAATTGCTTTACAATATTGAGTTGGTTTCTCCTGGATAACATCCTTCGAGAACCAGTCATAATTATACATATATCTTCTCCCTGTTGCGCCTCACTCCCCTCCCCCTCATCCCACCAGTTTAGGCCGTTATTGAGTGCCAGGCTGAGCTCCCTGTGTTATATTGCAGCTTCCCACTAGCTATCTGTCTTACACATGATAATGTATATATGTCAATGCTACTCTCTCAACTCGTCCCACCCTCTCCTTCCTCCACTGTGTCCACAAGACTGTTCTCCTCATCTGCGTCTCCAATAGTTCCCTGCAAATAGGTTCATCAGTACCATTTTTCTAGATTCCAAATATATGCATTAATATACAGCATTTGTTTATCTCTTTCTGACTTACTTCACTCTGTATAACAGGTTCCAGGTTTATCCACCTCAGTACAATTGAGTCAAATTTGTTCCTTTTTATAGCTGAGTAATATTCCATTGAATATTGAATATCTGCTTCATCCATTCATCTGTCAATGGACATCGAGACTGCTTCCATGTCCTGGCTATTCTAAATAGCACTGCAATGAACACCAGAGTACATGGATTCTTTTTGAATTGTAGTTTTCTCAGAGTATATGCCCAGCTGTGGGATCCCTTAGTCATAGGATAGAGTTATTCATAGTTTTTTACGGAATCTCCTTACTGTTCACCATAATGGTTATATCAGTAGGAGGGTTCCCTTTTCTTCACATCCTCTCCAGCATTTTTAAGTTATTGTGCCTTATATCACTGCTCTATGCAAAACCCAACAATCAGTCCCCTATTGCTTTTAGTATGACATTTCTTTCATATAACCTACCACATCCTTTAAAATATGGCCCTTGCTTAATTTCCTAGCCTCATGTCTCACTACATCTTCCCTCAGACACTACAAACCAACCCATTTAGGATCCATCAGGTCATCCCCTTCTTGCTTGTGGATCTTCACATAGTCTTTGCTCCCACTTGGGTCTGTGGTTTCTTTGCTAAGCTCTAACTCCTACTTATCTTTTCCTATACTTGCTGAGATGTCATTTCCTCCAAATCTAACCACTCTTCACCCGATTTGAGTTGTGTGCCCACCTCTGTGCTCCATGAGTTCTCTGAACCCACCGTGACCTGATATTACTCCACACCCAGAACCTGGTGCAGTGCTCAACTAGGAGAACATGACCAATGAGGTCAAGTGATTTTAAAAAAGATTTCATAGATAAGCTGAGATAAGATCTTCCAAGTAGCACTACTAACCTTTCATGTTTTCCTTAAATTACATTCAATCCTTTGTATAAATTTAAAGGGAAAAAAAAAAAAAACGAACAGAAAGACCAACCAGAACACCTGTGGTGGTCCTCTGAATTTTTTGGTTATCCATGCAAAACCTCACTCTTTTCAATGTTATAAAGTTGACTGCAATTGTTCTTGGATGTATATACATACACATAGAAACAGGTCTATTAATGAATGTGTTAATATCACATACTAATATCAGCCCATGAAATTCATTTGTCTAACTACAACTTTCAACCTCATCCAATCCACCAATCCATTGATTCTTCACTGTCTTTATTTCCATCAACTCTCTTCAGTCTTCACTTCCACTCCTTCCCCAGCATAAACTGGGCTTCCCTGATGCCTCAATAAAGAATTCACCTGCAAGGCAGGAGACCTGGGTTCAAGCCCTGGATTGGGAAGATCCCATGGAGGAGGGCATGGCAACCCACTCCAGTATTCTTGCCTGGAGAATCCCCATGGACAGAGGAGTCTGGTGGGCTACAGTCCATGGGGTCACAGAGTGGGACACAACTAAGCGACTCAGCACAGCACACAGCACAACAGCATAAATTCTACAGCTTGAATTATTATAACTTCCTTGCACATGTCCTAAACATTCTTGCTTCTCTCTTTCTTCACCACCAGTCCCCTGGGGTTAAAAAACCAACCCTAGTTAAACCTTACATCTTCTTCACGCCTGTGCCTGTAGCTGGAGAACACCACACAACCGGGCTGAACCATTTCACTTTAAATTCAGGATCAAAAACTTACAAGGTGACCCTCAACGATGTCCAGCAATCCTACTGCACCTCCCTGCTTTGTATATTCACTTCTCCCTGGTGCATTATCTCCATCCTCAGATTTCTCTCTCCTCAGATTGTTCCCTCGTTGCTGTCCATCCTCTCCCACCAAACTTCCCAGCTGATGCCTTCATTTAATAATTAAGTGACAAAATGGAAGCAACAATAAACTCCTTAATCTTCCCATCTCAAAAACCACAAACCAATGTGCATCAAACAGGAGTTCATTCTATTTATCATCCATAACTGCTGTCTGACCTCAGTCTTTTTTGTTTGTTCCATCTCATCAATCATATTTCAGCTCAAATATCACATTTTAAAAAAGATCTCCCCTGCATATTTTATTCCTTCATCAGAATGTAAGCTACAGAGGTACAAACTTTGTTATTTTTACCTCTGTATCCACAGTTCCCAGAACAATATCTAACACATGGCAGATAACTAGTAAATGCAGGCTAAATGGGCAAATGTTTATTTATCTGTTAATTTGATAGCTGAAACCTTACCTCTCAGTTCACTTACAAATCTTATAATGCCTAACTCTGTGTCTGGCATATAGTAGATGTTAAATATGTGTAGCTGCTGAATGAGTGAATCAATATTCTCACACACACAAAAAAAAAGAATGACAGAAATAAGGATTAGAAGGAGCTAAAGACAATTTGAAAATCTAAACAGAATAATGATCATATTCATTATATTTAAGGGGACATCATTCAGTAAATGGCTATGAATGCCTGCTGAAAATTACATCACTACATAAAAAAACACTTAGGAATAGTTCTTAGAAAACGTAATCTTTATGAAATTTGTGCCTTTGATCCGAAATGCAAAAAAACAAGTAGGAGGTAATCAGTAATAATCATCCAATTCAGTGATTTCATAATCAGTGACAAGATAACTGCTTTCTACATCTATCTACTTGAGTCTTGCAAATAAGCATTTATGCCATCCATATAATGTAAAAGTTAAACCAAAAAAAAAAATTAAATCTTATTAAATGCCTCAAACAGAAGTTTTCAACCAGGAAAAACATTCATTTTATGGAATAGTGCCTTTTCACTAGCAATGTTAGTGAACATAATTTTAATTTCTGCTGTTTTAAATATTAGGGATTTTTTTGCTGTTGTTGTTCAGTCACTAACCCATGTCCTACTCTTTGCAACCCCATGAACTGCAGCATACCAGCCTCAATTAAGTCTCACTTAAACAAAACTCCCAACAAGTAGGCAAAAGAAGAGTAAAATGACTTCCTCAAAATTAAACATTACAGAATTTCAACAATTAGAACAGAAACAAATCTTATGACTCCTAAACTATTCCTTTTCAAATACACAGTTATTTATTCTTTAAGAATAAAATAAAACATCACAGTTAGTAAACAACTTAATGATTATAGTAAATTGCACTGTACAGAAAAATATTTGTATTTTTATAGTCCTTTAGCACTCATAGAATAAAAAATAATTCCCCAGCTCACAAAATGAAAGCATATAGCTGTTCTTAATTATATGATCATGTAAGCTGAAGAATTACTTTTAACATATATATTTACTGTATGTTGATAATATGTATTTACCATAACTCTGAAAAGGTACTTGCAAAAGCTACATTTTAAAAATGAAGTAAAAAAGTCTTAGTTGATTTTTCATATATTAAACTACTGAGATTTTTTTCATGATATAGCATAATGCAATAAAAAAGTATCTCACTTC